AGCAATTCCTGGGACAGGTTACCTTAGCAACAGGTTGAAGCAGGGGCAGGTTATCTTGATACAGTAGAGGAAGGGCTCTGAAGGCATTTCAGTCCCTCAGGGGGCAGTTTCCAACTTCCTGAACTTAAATTGGCCTCTTTGATCCGACCTGACTTGATTTACCTATCTATACTGACTGCCTCTTTTAATTCTGGCTTCACCTCCTTGTCTCATCTCCTGGACTCTAATGGCCAGTGGGATTTTAGATGATAGTGCAGCCCCTGACTTTTCTAAGGGAAGTGACTTAGAATCACAGCAACCTGCAGTTTAGAGAAGTGAAAGTTGCTTGCTCCCTATGGGACTGTGAGCAGGGTTTCTCCAAGGAGAAACCCTTGGAGGGGTAGATAGTAGTGAGGAAAGTTTATGGACCCAGAAAAAGCATGACTCCACCTACCCACTCTCATGCTCATGCCCCTTCTATCTTTGATTCAGTTAATGACTCCTAAACCTGGCTCACTTTAGAATCTCCTGGAAAGATCACAAATATCTGGATTCAGGTGGAATCCAGTGGAACTTTTTTCTTGCCCTCCCCAAATGATTTTAATGTGCAGCCAGGGCTGAGGTGACTTATCAGTTTCTTCCTCCTAGGTACATGCACACAGCTACCCTGGACTTGTAGAAGGCCATTAAATGGCAAGATCATGATGATCCTGGTTATCAAGTTACCAGCTTCTTTACTTCTAGCAAGACAACCTTGACCTATAACCTTGTTCTTATTTGACAGTGGTAAAGCAGACCAGGAGAAGTCAAGAAACTTTTTATATCTGGTCACTTCTGGCCCAGAAATCAAGGTTCTTGCACCTAGCCCAGAGCTCTGTCCATAGGCCTCACAGACAGGAGCCAGGGTTGTGATTCTTTGTCCTAAAGGTTGGTCATTGTCCTACCTACCTTAGACTGTAATTAGAAGAAAGAACATAAACTTAGAATGAGAAGTCCTGAATTTGAATCCTGATTCTGCCAGTGTGTTCTTGGACTCCATCCTCGCCTTGGTTATAATGACCCCTTATGGGTGGGTGTGGGAATTGGACAGAGAATATTCTTTGGGAACCTTAAAATTGGTAAGTGTTACCACCAGGAGCAGTGATCTCACTGCTGTTTGGATTGTCATTCTCTGGGCTCTGGAAAGGGGAGGGGGCTGAGCAGGAGACAAATCAGACTAGCTGCGGAACTAGCAGGATTGGCTCCCTTTCTCTCCCCAGAACTGGTTTGGGCCTTGTTCGGAGCCTGCAGCAATCTCCTCTCTGTAGGCCCCACACAATAGGTGCTAATCCTTCCTTCTGGCACTAGGTAGAACAAAGAATAAGGACTGAAAGAATCCCTACCCACCCTTGACTCCACCTTCTGCCCAACTAGAATTCCCCATCCTCAGCCAAGTGTCTAGGAGAAGGGTCCGTCCCTCCGTCCTGTTTCCTAGTCTCTTAGAGGGACAATTCCAACTCCCCTGAAGTTGCAGGGCCCAGATAAATAGTTTAGAAGTGCTATCCACATGTAAGAGGTGGGGGAGCCTCGAATTCACCCCAGGTGGGTCTCCTCCTGCCTCCCCTATCCTGGAAGTCTGCCCCATGATTCCCCCTGCCCTGTCCTTGCAGGACCTGTCCAGGAAGAGGCCATTTCTGAAGGAGCACGTGGCCCCTTTCTCCACCTTCCTCACAGACAACTTTGGCCGGCAACACAACTACCTGCGGATCTCCCTCACTGAGAAGTGCAACCTCCGATGTGAGTCTCCATCCTGAGCCCACTCTGGGCTCACTCTGGGCTGTTGTCCCTTTGCTGAAGTGGCTTCTGAAATCTCCTCATGACCAGAAAGCCACTTTGGTCCTCTGATGTTGGTCTTCCAACTTCCTCACCCACCTGCCTTGCTGGCCAAGCCAGGCAGGCTTTGAGGGCCTAGAGAGGTCAAGGCTGAGTTTCAGGATTCTGGAAGGTCAGCCCTACTGAGATTATATTTGAGAATAGTAATGTGATTGGGTCCTGGACCTCTCAGTCTTCGGTCCTCCTTCCTCCTGTTTCCCTTCCATTTCTAAAAGTCCAGGACATGGCCAGGGTCGGGGTAGTTTACATTATAAATAGGTGATATATATAGCAGCACCTGAGGTCAACACTGCCAGCCATGAGATGTCCCAATCCTGTGACTGGTCACCCCAAACCATGCTGACACACAGAGCATTCATAATTTCCTGCAGGGAGCATTCTGGGCGAGTGACCCCTGCTACAGGGACTTCCAGAGTTGAGTCTTTCCCTCCTCCCTTCTTTCTTTGTCCCTTACTCCTCCTTCTTTTGTCCCTTACTACTTCTTCTCCCTTTCTCTTCTCTCCTCCCCTTCTTTCCTTCCCTCCCTCCTACTCTACCTCATAATAAGAAATATATTTGCTTCATGGGTCAGTAAACACACACACACACACACACACACACACACACACATTTGGTAAATGTTTAACCAAACATACTACATGTGCTGCATTCTTATATTTTTTAACCTATTCTTCCCAGTCTCTGGAGTCCACATCTGGACCCAACATGCTGCTTGACTTTGTGATAACATCTTGACCCAACCCTTAAGAAAGCTGCTCTCTAGGAAGTGGTGGCAGGAAGTGGTGCCCCCTCCCTTCCGCAGCTCACCTGTTTACCCCTTCTGCTACCTCACCCTGGACAAGGAGCACCTCAGTTTTCCAGCCTGTGAAGTGAGACTCATAACCTGTAATAGATAGGGTGGATTTGAGGGCACTTGTGTCTACAGAGGACAGTGGCTTTCACCAGACCAGAGAGGAATACTCTCATTCATGACATGCCCAAAGAGAAGTGACTGCCACAACTAGGTAGGGGAGGAGAGCGAATAACACCAGCAGAAGTGGGCCCAGGGCCTTAACCCTTCTAGGCAGACCCTACCCCAGGCTGAGGGACCAGCGTTCCAGTGCCCCCAGCCAGTTGATTTGGTTAAACCCTTACTTTCAGCTCCCCACAGAAGGATGGTCAGGCCAGGTTGCGGGGGCCAGTAAGATGAGAAGAGGGAGGCAGGGATTTATAGGACTTCTGACTCGGTGAGATCTCTCCCCATTGTCTAGACAGGGTTTAGGGGAACTGTTGACCTAATGGGAAGCTGGGGAGCAGGGACATCCTGGGCCTGCCTGCCGGCCATATCTATTTCCTACCTCCTCATCCCCTTCCTTCCCTCAGGCCAATACTGCATGCCTGAAGAGGGTGTCCCCTTAACCCCCAAGGCTGACCTGCTGACTACAGAGGAGATCCTGACCCTTGCCCGGCTTTTTGTGAAAGAAGGTGTTGATAAGATCCGGCTCACAGGTGGAGAGCCTCTCATCCGACCAGATGTGGTGGACATTGTGGGTGAGTTGGACAAATGTCATCACCATCTCACATCTCCTGCCTCCTCCAGCTGAACTCAGGTGTTAACCTTAATATTGGCAGTTGTCATTCATTTGACATTTGGACATTATGTTCACTTGGTCCTATAAGGAGTGCTATTTATTATTCCTTTTTTGATGAGAAAAGGAGTCATGGAGAGATTCAGCTTATCCAGGGTCACAAAGCTGCTCAATCCAAATCCCAGTGGCTTGCTGTCACAGTGAGACCAAAGTCCTCCCCAGTCGGCCCACATGACTGATGTCTATGACCTCTTGTCTGCCTCTCTGCCTCCTCCCTCCTCTCCAGACACACAGCCAGGTTTTCATGGTTGCTGTTCCCTTCCAGGGGAGCTTGGGGCTCACTGCTTGACCTCCTTTAGGTCTCTGATCAAATTTCAGCTCCTCAGCAAAGCTTTCCTTGACCATTCTGTCTAAAGTGCATCCCACCCATACACCCAGTCACTCCTCCTCCCAGAAATTGGCAAGAGGCAGCCCAGGGGCCAAATTTGGTTCACCACATGTTTTTTATATGACTTACAAACTGGGAATGGTTTTTTATATTTCTAAATGGTGGTGGGGGGGGGGAATCAAAAGAATAACAATTTAACAGTTTCTACCACATGAAATTCATATGAAATCCTAAGTTTGTCCATTAATAGTTTTATAGGAACATAGCCATGCCCAATTATTTCCATATTGCAACTACTCAATTCTGCAAAAGCAGCCATGGGCAATAAAGACTGTGTTGCAAAACTGGCCAGACAGGCTAAAAATGTCTATTATTTGGATTTTCTCAGAAAAAAAGTATGGCAATCCCTGCTCTTTCCCCCTTACTCTTGTTTAATTTTCTTTGTAACATTTATTTCATCCTGGATTATTTGTCTGCATATTTGTTTTTTTTTCAGTGGTCTAGCTCTTCCTTTACCATGGACACTCAGGTTGCAGGGCAGGGTTTGTTCCCATCTCCCAATCTGGGCCTGAGGTGTACTTTGGTGCTCACTGTTGAATGAATGAAGGAAGGGTAGGTCAAAGCCCATTCTCTGGAGTAAGACATCCTTCTGTTTGAATCTCAGTTATGACTCTTACTGACAGTATATCTTTAGGCAACTTTTAAGATTCATCCTAAGCCTTGGGGCCTTGAGGGTACAGTCTTACAGGGTTGACCTGAGGAGGGAGTGAGAAGGAGTGACCAGCACTCAGCTGGTGTTCTACAGGCCTCTCACTTTGTGCTGCTTTGAAGCCCCAAGGACAGGCAGAGAGAGACCTTCGTTCATGTTGTTATGAATAATGGAATCAAAGGAAAATAAGGCTCCATGTTTTGGGTGCTGCCTCCTTCCCAGCTGCTCTGGATGGGCTCTCAGCACTGCCTCATTCGCAGGTTTGGTAGATGTTCTGGCGAGAACCTCCTCACAGGCCTGGTGCTCTGTGAGAGCTTGAAGACGTGGGAGCCGAGTTGCAGGCCTCACTGCTGCGCAGCCCATGGCAGGAGGCAGCTGCTGGAGTGTCTTGCTGGCCTTGTGCTGAGGCTGACCTAGCGAAGGCCAGGTGCTGTGGGAGTACCAAGGAGGAGCCCAGGGCCAGGGCCCTCTGAAAACCCTCAGTCCCCACAGGTCACTCAACCTGGGCTCCTGCTAGCATTCCCGTGCAGCTGCAGGTCCTCAGAACTGAAAGACTTTCTCGATTCCAGGAAAGGGCTGTAGCCGCTGCTGGTTGCCAAGTCCAGCCCCCTCATTTAGGCCACTTCCTTGGCCCCCTGCCATGGCGTGGGGTGGGTTCCACCTTCAAACCTATGCTCCATGCCAGGTCTGAGGAGGAGCCAAGGGAGGGAGGATGACTGGCTGGTCAGCATGGTGTGGGGACTCTGAGCTGTCCATGGAAGGCGGCCATCAACTTGCACAGTGAGAAGAGCAGGAGCCAGGGAGCTTGGTAGCCCTAGTTCCCAGTTCCGCCACTCCTTGCTCCCATGAATTTCTTCATGTTCTTCCCCTTCCCTTCCTCAGCCTCTTCATCAACTTTAAGGACCTTTCCCTTTCCTACTGTGATGTGCTGACAGGCACCCACGGACAGGTTAGGACAAGGACCTGCCTACTGTGACCTGCTCCTGAGGATTTCCCTCCTCCCTACCTCCTCCCTCCCCCAGTGCTTCAAAGAATGCAGCTGCCCTGCTTTGACCTCCTGTGGACGCTTTCTGTCCTCCCCTGGCCCCTCTGGTCTTCCTCAGAGGGGCTTCCTCACAGCAAAACATCCTTAAGGGCAGGGCAGGTAGGTGCTCCTGGGGAGTGAAGAAGAAGCCCAGCCTGTGGAAGGATGTTCATTAACATAGATTTGTCCCCACCCTCCCAGGTGGCAGAGTGGAAGGATGATGGCAGCTCACAGGTTTCAGCCTGTTCGGCTCCAGCCCTGCCCAAGCTCCCACCACCTGAGTGCTGCGGGGCTCTCCCCACCCTTGGGTCTGCACCACGCAGCTCTCTGGCGCCCTCTGTCTGCCGTCCCTGTGACACTCACAGCCACCCTCTTCCCCCAGCCCTTCTCTACTCTACCTCTGTACACATTCCTCTGCCCCTTCCTTTCAGTTCAAGTGGGTGTGAAGTCCTGTCGTCCACTAGAACTGTCCTAGATGATGGGAAGGTCTTCGTGGTCTGCTGTGGTAGCCACTAGGCATAGTAGCTCTTAAGCATTTAACATGTGACTAATGTGGCTGTGAAACTCGTTTTCTTACCCTCTTGGTATGAACAGCCTCAGGACTAGCAGCTGCCATGTTGTGAAAGTTAGGGACTCCCCAAAAGAAACAAGGGAGAGGAAACCAGGAATGCACATGCCTGATGGTGTTGAGGGGTTTGCACAAGCCTTGTACGTGTGGTGACTTCAGAATGGCTTGTCACTGTCAGTGCTGCAGTCTCCACTTTTTCTTCTCTTTCCCCTTCTGTCTTTGTCTTCCCTTTCTTCTTTCCTTCTCCCCTCACTCCTTCTCTCTTGCTCATAGAGAAGAGGCAGATCTCACACCTTAAAGCCCAGGAGAGCCTACTGCAGTGGGCAGCCACTGACAGACTTTGAGAAGTGTGATGTTTTTTCTTTTATTTTTGATGGAGTCCACTTGTGTAGAAATCTATTAAATAAACTCCTTGGTTCTTGAGGTATTTTCATCACTGGTCTATATGTGACTTGATTTCCTTTACTCTCATTGTCTTAATAACGTTATCAGTTCCTAAGGAAACACTCTCTGACCAATCTTTTTTCTTAAGGGTAAGAACATTGGTAACAACTTCTAACCACCTTTGTGGACTTCCTGATTCTGTCCCCTTTTCCCCCACTACCACCTGAGGCAAACACTGATAAACTGTGTTTATCTTTCCCTTGGTTTTACAAAATCAGATGTAGTGTTTTTGAACTTCATAAATGTGCTGTACGTAAACATACAGCATTTCAGGACTACAGTTTTGATGTCAGTGAAATTCATACGAGGTATCCAGAGTCATCCTTTCCCTGTTCTCTGTGAGCTGCTGTTCTATTATATGACTATGCTGTATGTTTTAGTGAGCATTTGAGTTGGTTACCATTTTTTGGGTTTGTAAATAGTGCTGTTTTGAACACTGTTATTCTCACATTTCCTGTACGGTTTCTCTAGGAGCAGAATTGCTGGCTCATAGAAAATGTGAATATTTGACTTTGGAAAACAACTTGGCATTGCTTTATGAAGTAGTTGTCCCTCTGTATTCTCGCCAACAATACAGATTCTGCTCAGCAGCCTCTTTAACACTTGTGGTACTATTCTTGATTTTTGCCAGTTAAATGTGTAAAATCGTGTTTCATTGTGTTCTCGATTTATATTCTCATGTTAGGAATGAGGTCCAGTATCTCTTCACATGTTAACTAGCCATGTGTAATTCTGTGTAATACCTGATCATGTTTTTTCACATTTTTCTACTTGGTTATTTGTCCTTTCACATTGATTTGGTAAAGGTTATTTGTATATATTGCAAATATCTTCTCCCAGTTTGCAAAAATAAGCTCTACTTTGAATAATGATACTTTGAACAGTAGCAGATATTAAGTAATTAAGCATTTTTCTTATTAATTAACATCTAACCCAAGGTCAAATGAACTGTTCTTTTTCTGCTTAAAAAAATTAAAGGTTTGCATTAAAATTCCTTGTTCATCTATGGATGATTTTTAGGAATCCAATTTAATATTTTTCAATACAGATGGCCACTTTTTCTAGGTCCTTGTATTGCATAGTCCCCATTTCCTCCCATAAATTTGTCATATAGGTATTGATCTGTTTCATGTTGTACTCTGTTCTGTTTATTGCTCAGTTTTTGTCTTCATGCCAGTATTGCACTATCTTAATCATTCTAGCTTCAGAATATATCCATTATCGAGTAGGGCAATTCCTTTTTATTTTTCAACAGTGCTTTAGCTGTGTTAAACTGATCCTAAAATTTAAATGGACAAGCTTATCAAGTAACATGGACAAACCTCCTGGGGTCTTAATTACATTGAATTGGGAAGAATTAACATCAGTTTTGCTCATAGCCCCTAGAGCTATCTTCCTCCTTTGCCCTGCTCTTTGCTCAGGGATCACATTGTGTAGGGTCCCTTGTCTTTTGGCCCCTTCTCCTATTCTCTATTGGGTTTTCCCCTGTATCTTTGGCCCTAGGCATGGTAATGGATTCCTGGTGTCGCTAGTCCGAGTACCATACTGTGCGTTGTTGGGTCCTTTCATGCTGCTCATACCTTTATAAGCAGCTTTTATCGTAGTCTAATTTAACCATCTGACATGAACTCAATTTTATGCTGGGATCCTGACAGGGTCATTAGAAACAAACAAACAAACAAAAAAAACAAATCTGATTTTTTTTTTTTCTGGTACATTTCTTTGTTACCCAACTCTTCCATCGATCGTTTAGTATGGCTGTTTAATTTCTTTTAATTTTCCTATGCTAACAACTGTATAATCTGTAACTAAAAGCTGCGTCTTTTCTT